GGAGATTAAGTTCAAACGATTAATTAATTTGCTTTTTGAAACCCTACACATCTGTTCTTTTTTTGTCAGTTGTTGAGTTTTTGTATTCCACGATGGGTCAGCCGTATGCAAAAACTAAACTTTTTGCAGCTTCTATTGTATTTTGGTTAATTAAGGTTACTTTGTTGCAGAACTGTAGAACACTTTACGTTTAATACATAAAAATAGAAAGTGGAGAATAAAGAAAAAAGGAAGGAAACATAAAAAAAAATTAAGAGGCGAAAACACAACGCAACATATATAAATCATTAATATTCATTCATCCTCCAGGCTAATTCTTCATATCCAACAGACGCTTGAGGGACCGTCATGTGATAATCATCTATTTAACTGATTACAACATAAAACAAGGCTAAGTTTTAATTCTTCGATTCAGTTGTAAAATCTTCTTACGAGCAACATTTTAAAGCCTACAAGTTATCCTTTCAAATCTGCCGCCCGGAGCGCGCTTAAAGCTCCCAGATATATCAGGCCATTCTTTGCGATGCCAAATTTGGAAGATAAGAGTAATACACCATCGATTTAATAGTGCATTTGTTTGGAGGCGAGATTGATCAATATATTGGCCCGGAAACGAGGCTGCTGAAGCAATAGACCATCGACCAACCTGGTTTACAGGCGCAGCCGCCAAGCAGTTTATTCATGAGTGAATGAAAAACATGACGTTCAGGGATATGCGAGGAGGAGATAGCTGAATTTTTTACTTTAACTGATGCATGAACGAAAGAAAAAAATGGGAGAATACACAAGAGTCACACAATGCATATTACTCGATGGATATTGTCTACCTTTTGAGGAGTTTCTGCGAGAAAATAGACCGTCTGTTTATATCCTGAAACCATGCAGAGGAATGGGCCAAAGCTTCGAAGAAAGTTTTCGCGGAGGTAACCTTCTTTAGGACGTAAGCATATTTTGAACGAATAATAAAGCAATTACCGAATTCTGCTTTTGTATGGCGAAAAACTGCGCCTTCAGCCTCGGTGGATGGATAATATCCACCACCTCGATCTGCATAATTCTTCACTCCACACTCAGCGTTAAACAATCATTACTACAATACAATCAGGTCTCTGCTATAATTCATACTGTATCACTTACCTTTGTATTTTGTGCCAATTTTGCAAATGCAGTTGAAAGATCCATGGGTATTCTCACAATTAGACACATCGCCACAGTTGTGTAATCCGTCCTTACATTCATTGATGTCTACAGGGACGAATAACAAAAATGAAAAACAAAACAAAAAGTAAAACAAGATATTAAGCCTTAGCAAATGAAGACCATTTCTAGCAAGGAGGTCGTTCGAAATTTAAGCCGATAGCGTGGACAAATGTAAGCCGATTGCAAAACAAAAAGACTAGACAAATATGGAGGACTCAAGCATGCAACAAGACATACCTTGTGCGCTTTTGCGATTTTGCCGCCGCGCGAGCGATTGTGAAGCGAGCGAGCAAGGCGGCAGACCTAATCCGTACGGAATTCTTGCCCTGAGTCATCTTGAAACGGTCAGCATTAGATCCCATTGGCCGGAGCCCCTTTCTCCACATATGAAATTTGCACAAGGTAGAACTTCTTTCTGCTATTATATCACACTTAGATGATATTTCAGGCTGGAAATGTTCGTGAAAGTGCTAGTCTCTTCAACTTAAAATTTATAAAAAAAAAGATTATGGTAGACAGTAGGATCCGAACCCACGACCTAGAAGAACCAGTATGCTATGCTAACCACTAGACCACTGAGGATTTGAAGGAAGGAGGGGAAATAATTTAAGTACATATAGCACCAACCCTGACCTCCAAAAAAGAACCTAACCGGTTTGGTAACAGTGCTTAACCTTAATGAGAAAAGGCGGTGATTAACCCTAAACTGTAATCGGCTTCGTCAGTCATCATTTCCATCGCTATCTTTTGCTGGCTCTCAGTAAGGTCACCTAGTTTCACTTGTGGCGTCTTCAAAGACGTCTCGTCTCTCTTTTGGTCATTACTAATGTCAGCAACATGACTCTCCTGCGAGACCTTTTCTGGACACTACTAATTCTCTGTTAGTCGGTGTCTTTCTCACTCTGGCTTGTATCTTTCCTAACCACTTCCAAAGGTGTAAGAAATCCAGACGTTTGAACGTCAGAGATAAGTTAGAATTCTACTTCCACCAATCCTATGAAATGTATTACTAAACCTTTCGCTGCTCTTAAGTCCAATCCCTCACCCTTCCTAACATCTCTTCAATCTTCCTTAACTCTAATAATGGTAGATCCTTACTAAACCAACTCTCTGATACCATGGACACCTGAGTCCCTGTATCCCACAATACCTCAACCTACTTATGAAATACCTCACCAGTCACCAGCACTCAACATAGACAACAATTTACACTTCAAACCAACAAGCCTGGCTACTGTTAACTGCTGCGTAGGTGTAAGATGACTGACAAATGCATAACCATCACCACGTATTCCTTGAGAAGCTCTCTCTGCCTTCAGTTGCTGGATGGCTTGAAAAAACACACTTGTGACTGCTGCAATGGCGTAGTGCGGTAATGTGGACGTCAATGTCAGAAACCTTGCATCCTGAGCACCGCATAAAAACATTGACCAGTCCTGGCAACTTTCTGACAATTCAAACATTTGTGTCTTAAAATTTGGTAAGACCTCTAACCGTGCTGTAGGAAATTTGTCACAAAGAAAACTCTAAGTCTGAGCAGCGAACGATGCACTCTCTCACCCACCGAACTTCCCCGTGTTTTTATTTGAGTTGTTCGTGGAGCAATGCACTCTGGTTAAATGCAATGCATTGTGGTAAAAGGTGTGCTTAAATGCAATGCATTGTGGTAAAAAGTGATGAATTCGAGATTTCGTCGCCCCTTATATATTTCCTTTAAATCCTGATTATGTTGCTGCTCGCTCCCTTCGGTCGCTCCGCAGCAAAACCCGATGTAAAATTTGTTTCACTCTTGGACTGTCAAATTATTTTTCTCTAAAATCACTTAGCCTTTGCCTCAAAGTCAAATGAATGTGCCTTGATCTGTGGATTGCAAGTTTATTGTTTGATTTAAATTATGAGTTTATTAACGGGAGCTTCGCTTTTAGCCCTGGCTAAATTTATATGTTACAGTAGTATATATTCTACCCTGGGTACCAGGGTTTTTTTTTCGAGTGCGTCGGGATGCTTCGTTTCGTCGGACGCAGGCCGACACGTGTTCGGCCAAAGGCCGATGACCGAAACCCTGAAACCGCACATGAAAAGCCTCTGGCACCCAGGGTAGATATATATTCCGTATATTCATGTTTTTCCCTAATAGACTAGCCTTCGGAGGGCAGACGTATTTCCGGTCGTCTCTTCTCTCCCTCCATTATTTTTCGGAGGGAGAGAAGCGACGACCGGAAATACGTCTCCGCTTCGCAGGCTACTAATAAACCTGATAAAGACTGGTATTGGCCACTCAAAATATTGTATACCTTAGCCTTTTTCACATTGTTTGATCAGTCTTTGCAGAAGTCTTTTTGACTTTAATTCTATGAAATTGTAAAAACAATTCTATGAGCTGGGCCGAGTCAAAGGAGGGGGGACCGAAGGCGGGTCAGGGGCGTGGTAAATTAGTGTCCTTCGATTGGCTCACAAAATCGAGCCCAGGTAATCGCCTGGGATTAAAGGCAAGCCGCCATCTTTGTATAACCGAAGTCACAAACATGTATATTTGCCAAGGGCGCAGGACCAATACTTAAGACAAAAGAAAAAAAATAGTTGAGAATGTGTTCACGACTTATCTTGAAGATCGTAGGGAACAAAGAGAGACAACTTACATCTACCGAACCTTGATTCGTGATTCGTTGCATGGAGATCAGTACAGTGTTCCGCTGCCTCAGATCCAGGTAACAAGAAATAAAGCAATTACATCTTCTTACACTATTTGTTACACTGTATCTTTATTCACAGGATTTCTAGCTACTGCGGTTAAAAATTTGTGAGTGGTCTTGTCATAAAACGCACGCAAGGCTATCGCGCAATACCAAAATGATCAACAACGTAGCGACGGCCATTTCAACAATTTACAACGAAATGACTGCGTGTGGCGTTTTCGCAAAATACGCCATGTTCGCAAAAATCCTCAATTTGATTTTTGCTAACAATTTGGCGGTTGTTCGCCATTTCTGTCATTTTCGCCAAATATGCCATATTCGCCAAAATCGCCACTTTCAAAAGCGATCCTTTGCCATCTCATTTGATATTTTGTTAACAATTTGACGTTTGTTCGCCAATTCTGCCATTTTCGCCAAAATCCCCACTTTCGTCAAAAGCGCCAGTTTCAAGGCGCCCCTTTGCTTCGTCATAACATGTTCGTCTAAGTTTGGCGAATTTTTGCCCTTTTTATCCATTTTTGCCAGTGCGTGCATTTCTGGACATATCTCACACATTAACCTAGTGACATCTAGAAACATTAAGAAAACTATTAAAACTCAGACAATTAACAAGCAGCACGCGGACACCATCTTGGGTAACCGAGCTAATTATGCGCGTGCGTCGAGTCCTGTGGAAAGAATTCTGGTATACTTGCTGTGGGACCAAGTTCCCGCGAATGTCACAATAAGGGGACAAAAAAATGATTTCGTGGCTTAAATTTGACTGTAACACATTGATTTGGGCCAATAAAAAAAAAATGGTTTCTTGATCAATAAATGACAATTTTTGTGCTGCAAAAGTAGCAAAAAGTGTGAATTATGCTAGCAGTAACCTTTTTTCAGAAATTTGGTGAAAATTATATTGGTGATGACGAATTACGCCAAAAATTATGCTAGCACTCTTTCAAAGCCTAGGCGCATACTCAAATTCTGGTACACAGGTGGGGGCCCAGAACAAGGATCTATTTCGGCGCTGTTATAGTTTCGTCTGTGGTGCAAGCTAGCTCTCAATATGACAACAATAGAGGTTGACGTAAGATTCAGTCCTTATACACTATCAGCATGCTATGGATTTTCACAAATGTATTTTTTTTCACTTGAGCATGGTTGATCATACCACATCCCGTCATAGTTTGGATCGGATTCTCTTCGTATTACCACACAATCCTCGTTATCACCGTAATTGTCCGGTTGGTTGTCTCCCCAGTTTTTGTATCCATGCACCGAACCCAACCGAGTTCCGTCCGTCCACATCCAGTCACCTTCTTTGGCAGAGTCAGAAAGTCCAATCCAGTAATCATCGTTAGTGTCGGTCGCCAAAACATTCGTTTTTATGAAATCATTTTCTTCACGAGAGTCAACCTTTACCAAATTAGTATGCCATTTTTCGCATTCCTTCTTGGCGTTTTCCCATGTCAGTTGAGATGCCGTAAACAATTTATAACAGAGCGTCCCGTTGCCAATCCACCCTTGTTGACAAGCTGAGTTAAGAAACAATAGAAAAGGGAAAACCAGACATAAAATTAGTTGAAATTAGTAATGATCGAAGGTTACGGAGTGCGGGCGTCAACGATTAAACATCAAAGCGCTTTGCTCCAACGCTGTGCATTGCGTGGATGATTCACGTGATAGATGGTCAAAACATGTGTGATTAAATTACGAGTAACAGAAGGTCTAAACACGCGTGATCAGATTGCGCTCGATGCATTTCATTCCTTAGGGAGTTTTAGCAACGACGACAGCGACGGCAACGACAACGAGAACGTTAAAACAACAATAGGTTTATTAAGCAAAACAACAAGTTTGCACTTGCATCACGCTTTTATTTATTTTTTTTTTTTACATTTCTTTGCCGTTAGTGCACGACTACGACGCGAAAATGCCTAATTTCTCCATATATGGAGGACGTAAACAATCGACGACGAAATGTTCTTTCTAAACTTGAGTGATGTCCCCAAGAAATCAACTCCAAGGAAATTTGCCTATCTTAGAATTTTATTTTTCAGCGAATTGGAATAAACGCGACAAAGTTTGAAAAAACCTAAGTGACGTTTTCGCTAGCTAATCTTAGTAGACGTCAAATCGAAGCCGGCTCCATACGTCAGTGGCAATGCGGCGCATACGAAATAACAACCTGAAGATTAGGATTGCGGGCTCCTCTTGTCGCTCCTACTAGCCGATGTTACTAAAACAGGGAACCGGGAACGGGTAATGAGCACGTGCAACGGGAAAATAAAAATAAGAACGAGAAAGAGAATGGGTAATGAATTTACTGATACGTCTAGCGTTCAAGTTAAGTTCTGTTCCCATTTTTTATTTTCCCGTTCTCAATTCCCCATTCCCTGTTCTTCGTTTTATCGACTTTCTAAAAACTGAATTGACGTAATGTTACCATCACGGGAAACAACAAATAGCTAAGGCTGGCTCGGTTCAGACGCCGCTCCACTCATGTGCCCNCGGCTCCATACGTCAGTGGCAATGCGGCGCATACGAAATAACAACCTGAAGATTAGGATTGCGGGCTCCTCTTGTCGCTCCTACTAGCCGATGTTACTAAAACAGGGAACCGGGAACGGGTAATGAGCACGTGCAACGGGAAAATAAAAATAAGAACGAGAAAGAGAATGGGTAATGAATTTACTGATACGTCTAGCGTTCAAGTTAAGTTCTGTTCCCATTTTTTATTTTCCCGTTCTCAATTCCCCATTCCCTGTTCTTCGTTTTATCGACTTTCTAAAAACTGAATTGACGTAATGTTACCATCACGGGAAACAACAAATAGCTAAGGCTG